CAGCCCCCCGCTATGGCTTCTCCTCCTGTGTGTGAAGACTGGGCGGACGTCAAGGCTTGCACGGACCATCTTGGGGGCCCAGGCGGGGGGCCTGGGAGCTGTGGAGAAAGGGGAGGTTCTTGAAGGCATCCCCAGGGGGGACCGGGCCGCATGGCCACCCCGCTTTGCTTTCTCTGAAGCCCGGCCCGGCCCGGTCTGCTTTCGGGGCTAATTTGGCCCTCTCCCGTAGTCAGGAGCTGCCAGGCCAGAGCGGAGGGTCCAGGCCAGGACGGGGTTCTGCTCTGGGGGTGGGGCAGTCCGCGGAGAGGTTGAAGGGGGTTCAACTCCACCCCTCCACCCTCTGAGTGGGAGCAGAGACGGATCTGGGGACCCAAAGGGGGAGACAGTGGCTCCCCTCCCCCGCCCACCTCGAGCCATGTCTCTCCCTTGTTGGGGAGGCCTCTGCTCCTCCAGCCCCGCAAATTCTTGTGCTCCGGGGCTCCTTCCTCACGTGCGCCCCCAAGGGGACTTTCCTCGGGCCTTCATTGAGGGGGGCCCTCCGCCCGGCCCACCGGCCGGCCCGCCCCGTCTCCTCAGCCTGCTCAGGAACTGATGTCGGTTGCCTTATTTTTATACCGTTCACAATAAACCTATGAAAAGACTTGTCCGTGTCCTGCGTGGCTTCCTCCCTCCCCTTCGGGGCTGCTGGTCCTCCCACCAAAGGCTGAGGCCGGCCGGCCCCAGGCTTGGTCAGAATCTGGGCCCTCCCTTGTGGACGCCCTTCAGCCACTGTGAGACACACCCGGTCCTCTGGTGACAGTGCCCATCCTGCCCTTCCCAGATACAGGGGCTTGGAAGTGGCTCTGCCCTCAGCCCCTCCTCTCTGCTGGGGCTTCCTCTTTCACACCTGCCTCTCCTGCCCTGCCTTGGACCACCACCACCACCACCACCGCCATCTTTCCGTCCTGTGGCTTGGATGCGCGTTCTCCCTCCGTGCCCGTTGGAGCGCCTCCGTTGCTCCCGCGTCTTTCCTTGCGGCCAGCTCTCCTCTTCCCCGGCGGAACTAACTTCCTGCCCAGCCATGTTGCTTTTTTCCTCCTGGGGAAATCCTTCTGCCCGGGGGTGGGGGGGGCCCAGGAACACTTGCCACCCTTCTAATCCTCTCCGGGGGCTGCTGGTCCTTTGCCCAAAGCGCAGCCCCTCGCTGCCGCTGCCGCCGCCTTCCAGGCGAACCCAGCTGGCCTGGGAAGGAGCAGCCCTTGCCCTCGCAGGCGCTCTCTGTGCCGCCGGCGGAGCAGGGGGGTCCCACTGCTTGACCGGCCAGCAGCTGCTGCCGTCGGCCACCCCTCCCAACGGGGCCCTGCCTCTCCCACCCGCAATTTCATGGGTCTCTGTTTCAGGTATCCGCATTTCCGTTCCCAGGATGAGGGTTTCAGGCAGCTGGGGGAAGGCCGGCCTCCCAGGGAAGGCTGAGGCCTCCTGGGGTCTTGAGCCGACCCCCACCACCACCACATCCCGAGGGAGAGAGAGCAGCGGGCCAGGGGTGACGGGGTGATGGGCCACGCCGGCTCCTGAGAGGGAAATGGGGCTTCTCACTAGGGGATCGGAAGCAGAACCTTCCTCCTTCAGAAAGAAGAGAAACGGCTTCTCTTTGGAGCTCCTCGGCCTTTTTTTGTTGGCTGGATCTGCACCAAGGCCAAGGGGGGGCGGGGGGGGGATCCCTGCTTGGCCAGAGCACTCCTGGCCTATTTGGGGTCCTTTGCCAAGGTGGGGTTGCTGCGTCTCCCGGAGCTGCTTCTCCACAACGCTCCTCCCAGGGGTGTCTTTCTGTGTCTTCCCTGAGCCCCTTTCTCGTCCCTTGGCCTGAGGAATAGGAATAGAGTAAATCAGAATAGAATAAAACAGAATTAGAATTCAATACTAGAATAGAATAGAAATAGAATAGAATAGAATAGAATAGAATAGAATAGAATAGAATAGAATAGAATAGAA